ACCAAAAAAAAAAGTTACTTCTCGTAAAACGTGGATAATAAAAAGATAATTGCAAACCTTACGATGTGGAATGTAGTGATGCCAAGAATATCGTCCTTCCCCTGACAACAAAAGCATTGACCGAGGAGGAAGGAAAATAGCTTTCCTTAAAAGACAAGATCCCAAGAGGTACTTCCTGAACTCCATAATACATGGCCCAGCTAATGAAAGGCTGCAGATCATATCATCAAATGCTGAATGCGTGTCTATATGAGGTGATAGGCCTATCCCTGGTGGATAATCATTAACCTGCAAAATTTTATCAGAGGGTGAAGAGTAGCTATACGGAACCCAGAGTATGTAACTATGTTGTCAATAATTATTGTGCCAAGAAAAAAAAAAAAAAGCACCGCATGTAGCATATTTCAAGTCATCTTATGTACAAATTCTCATCACATCCCAAAAACATTTTAACCTAAACGGGGAGGGACAGTCCACATAGAACTTTGAGTTTATATCAAAATAAGTGCCTTCAGCTTCAAGCTGATGCAGGACACTATCAAAGTCTAATTTTCATGGCAGAAATTCGGTGAGAAAAAGTCAACAGGAAATGCATTTTTTAAAATTTTGACAGATGCAACACTTAACTGTAAACAGATGAAAAAAGAAAACACATACAAAAGTGCAATTAAGTTCACACAAATCTTTTCCACTAATGAAAATAAAAGTGGAAGAAATTCAAAGCGTTATAAAAACAATGATAAAGTAAAAAAATTAAGCCACAAAAAATGTGATCATAAAGGAACAAACACCCTCAAATAGGAAGAAAAGAAGAATAAAATAAATAACGCAACGCAACTAAGAACTATTAACAGAGAAGAAATTACCTTCCATGTTCATCCATAACAGAAAAACAAATGTACTCCTAAGAGGTAGGTTAAATAGCAGAAAAATTCGATCTAGAATTCTGCCCTTAGTGAGGACTTCATATTTCACTACGTCGGCCAACTTAGTACCACAAATCCCGTTTTTCAGTCTTGTCCCAAGTCAAGAGTCTGCCTCTTACGCATGACTTCTCTCCAAACCACACAACACCCCTAGGCCTCTTCTACGGTCTATACTCACCCATCCTCTCTAAAATATGCTCTCTCGACTGAAAAATGTTATTTTATACCTCCTAAAGGAAGCATAATGAAAAAGATTTTGAATTAGTGTCATGCATTTTATTTAAAAAAAATATAGTTTACTAGAATGCTTTTAAAATGAATTATAAATTTACTATGGTTGACAAAAATTATTTTTTCCTAACAACCTATAGTAATGTATAATTTACAAACAAACCACACACGATGGTAAAATGGACAAAAGTAGGTAACCTATAGATTGAATATAAATAGTAAAATACGGAATGTTTACTGAGTGGAAAGAATAAAATGAAGGTTGGGCTTTACAAAGTTTTTAAATAAAATAAAAAAAAAAAAAAAAAAAAAAAAATCTATTCATAATATATACACCAATCAAACAGAATAGGAGCCTTAGGAGTACATTTGTTCCTGGGCATTCTGAAATGGTTCATCTTATATGCACCCAGTCCATTCGATGCTAAAAATACTCCTAGATCTGGAATATTGGAATGTATTGGGTCGAGAATATTTTCACATACATTATTGTACTAAAAAAAAAATCCCAACTCAAATGTACATCTTAGAAAAATACAACAACAACAAGTCTTTAGCCCACTAAGTGGGGTTCGCTAAATGAATCTTTTTTTTTCTCCATTGTGTCCTACTGAGTATCATATTTTCATTAATACTAAAAACCTTAAGATCATTTTTTATACAACATGCTCAAGAATTTTTAGGTCTACATCTACCTTTCTTAACACAAGTCAAATCTACAACATTTACTCTCCTAGTAGGGTTCAGATGGTCGGCATTTAACCTGCCAAACCATCTAAGGTGGCTCTCTAATCTTGTTTGTCACTGAAGCTACTCCAACCCTTTCACGGATATTCATTTTGCATTTTGTTAATGAATGTGGAGCCACTCATCCACATGAGCATTCCATGTAAGCAACACTTAACTTAGTTTTATGATTCTCTTTTACAATTATGCGCCACAAAGCATTGCAGGTCTCACCACCATCTTATAAAAATTTCCTTCAAGTCTAAGCAATACTTTTCTTTCACACAATAGGACCAATGCATTGCTCCGCTTCAACAATCCAACACGAATTCCACTAATAACATCCCGATCTAAATCACCATCACCTTGAGCAATAGACCCTAGATATCTAAAATGTTCACTCCTTTTAATGACTTGATAACCAAAGGTTACAACCCCGCCACTAGATTTACTACTACTAAAATTACATCTCATATGATTAATTTTAGATCTACTCAAATGAAAGTCTTTAGATTCTAAAGTTGATCTTCATAAATCAAGTTTTTCTTGAACTCTCTCTCTTGTCTTATCCAGAAGAAGGATGTAATCAATAAAAAACATACAAAAGGTACATCCTCCTATAGGATGTCCAACAAGGACATTTAAAACTAAGCAGAAAAAATATAAGCTTAAAGTCAATTCCTAATGTAATCCAACTAAAATAAAAAAATACTTGGTCAAACCTCCTTGTGTTAGAACACAAGTAACAACTTCGAAAAATGAAAAGATAAAAATGTCCAAAACAAATATATCATATCCTATAAATAAACAAACATGAAATCATATACAAATAGTAACATTGCAGAAAACAAAACAAGAGAGGGGAGACACGAGAAACTATGAGAGACAATGTTTGTATGCATGAAAATAGGAGTTTTTGTTGGGCTTTGAGAAAGAAAGGGAGCACAGAGAGAAATCTACATATAATGAAAAGTAGGGAGAGTGTGGCGGGTGCGCGGAGTCAAGATAGGGTTAAACATCGGGTTTCATTATCATTTCCTTTCTATTCTTTCTTATTTCCTCTTTTGGGACATTTACATACATGCCACATAATTATTATGCATTTACATATCTAACACATAAAATTTTATATTTACATGCATGCCATTCAAATATTCAATATCAAATAAAAAAATCAAAATACTAACTTTATAAAAGTGAAATACACAATTTTATGCATAGGTTTATGACACCAAAGTATTTTAAGTCTAATTATTAAAATTTAGAAGTTAAATATGTAAGAACATAAGATTTGTGTGACATGTATATAAATTTCCCTTCCTTTTTTAATGGTTAGATGAAAATAAGAGGACAAGCTTTTGCGTGCAGCACTATAATATATAAAGGTAAAAAATTGCAGAGTTCGATGAATGCAAGGATGAAGCTATAAGATTTTTATTAATTTGAAATTTTTTATTCTAATTTTTATTTGATTTTTAATAATATATAAATATTGATTTCTAGCATTTTTTTCATTATTAGCTCGACTCAAGGTTCATGTTGTTGCTTTGTGCATAAATAAATTTAATATTGTCTCCACGCAGCGACCCATACAAAATGGGTGTCTATCCCTGGTTTTTTTTACGTTTTGGATACGTCAGCACAATCCGTTTTGTGAAAAATAAATATTTAAGTAATTTTGCACAAGAATATATCCTTAATCTATTATTTTTCGTTGTGTGAAAATCAAAATCAATTGTCGTGGTTTTTCTTGAGAATTTTAAAGCTCCAAACATATTAACGCAATGTCATTATAGATGCATTTGACAATTTTTTGAGTAAACTGTCTTTTTTATCGTTTAACGTGCCAGGTAAGGTGAAAGCCCTTGGGCAATTTTGATATTTAAGATGCATCAACAAAGTGTTTTATGTGAACGCAGATGTTTAAATGATTTTGAATGCAATCGTTGTCAACAATAGTAACCCAATATGTACAATATTGCATCTGTTGTCTATAATTTCCGTTGTGTTCAATCGCAATTGATGTGAAATAGTTAAGGAGGTCAACAAATATATAATTTAGGTACTCGATTCTCTTCTAATTTCCCCAATTATGAACATCCCATCGATGTTAAAGCACTGGCATTAACAAACTTCTCACCATTGCATTCCATCAGTCTTAATAAGAATGATTTATTAACTAGACAACGTTACTATTTCTCATAATTTTCCTAATCAAAATCTATCAGTTATGCACATAAATCTATATATTTATTCATCATGAAATTAATCTAACTTCATTTTCTGGGATAAATTTATTATATGATTCAGAATTGTTCATTTTGTGATCATAATGGTATTTCCTTTGAGAAAAATTTTGTTATTTATCTTCAAAATCAAGATATTATGGCACTTCTATTTTTTCTTGATAAGTATCTTTAATCAAGATATTATTACTTGCTCTCCGGACACATCATTTAATTAAAGTCTCTAATCTCCTTTCTCTAGCCTTAAATATTTTATGGATATCATTTTCTATAGTTATTAGTGCCTAGCCTAAAATACAAATCAACAAAGGCAAGTATGGCTTAGCTTGATATCCTTTTGCTAGATGTTCTAGTTTACCAATGATGATTTAATTTAAAAAATATTTTGTTTTAAGCTTCAAAATTCTGTTTTATTTGTTTACATTTTTCCATCCAGCAGTGTATTTCAATTTAAGGAAAAAAAAAAAAACCTAAAAAAGGTCCCATATGTTCTGCGTACCGTAAGTTGATCCAACAGCTGCCCTTTGTTGTCACTTATGCCTTGAAATAATGACATTTTTTCAATTATCGGAGAAACAAAAGGTGGAAGTTCACCTAGGAACTGCTTGGTATCAACATTCCTTGTCTGCCAAAAACACATATACAACATACCAAAGAGCATTAATAGATTAACAAGTGGATCTTGCATTCAAATAATAATAAAGGAAATCAATTCAATCTGTAGAGTTAGAAGTTCATAAAGTAAGAAAGACTAAGACAATAAAGTGTGAAGCACCTCATAAAATACTTACGATTGAACATTGATTTATATAATCCTAATAAGGAAACAAAGGTTTGCCATAGCTGTAAAGGAGACCCTTTCAAGTATGAGCATGGTTACCATTAATGTGGCACTGGTCAAGTCAAAGGAATATCTTGGAGAAAAAAAAAATACTGAGTTCTCTCGAATTTGGCTTTTAAACTTTGTTTGACCTAAAGTCTCCCTTGAATCTGGGCACATGTCTTGGGGACCCACCTTAATCAAGTCAATATTATTAACTGGGTTAAGCCAACAAAAGATGATTTTTAAAATTTTCAAGTTAGCTTGTTGTCTCCTTGATGTAATTAGTCTATTCCTTAGTGGTTCATAGCAGTTTATATGGCCATAGTACCAAATCTAGTTTATTAAGGATATCTCCATTATTATTATCAAGTTTGGTAGAAGACTTAACAATTTTGATAATTGATCTTCATTGAGATGCGCTTGATAGCATCATCTTCCTGGGATGTGTATGAGGGTAGTGTGAAGTGGTTTACCTTATTTTTCTGCTATATTATCATTAACTATCTATTATACTTATCCCTTTCTCCATCCGTTACAAAATTTATGTTAGTGCAATAGTTATTGCATTTAGAAAAAAAAATCTACGGTATGATTTTTGCATTATATTGATGCCGGCCAAAACAATGATATCCCGCGCGTGATGAAGCTGGACAAGGGAATAGGGAATAGAGCATGAACGGCGAGGCGCGTTGCAGCTGAGTCAAAAGGTGGCGTCAAATTATATATCTTACCTCTAGGAGCTAACTTTATTTTTGCAAACAAATATCATCATTTAAATTCATTTTTCCCTTTGTTGAGAACACCCCATACAGAGCTTATCAATACTCACCCCAATCAAATTCAAAACCTAAATTTTAAACCTACGCAAGTCGTACTCATATTCTTTTCGTTAAGAACAACACCCCACTAGCTTGAACATAACCAATCAATATTCTTTCACACGATCAATGCTTCCCTCCCTCCCATCAGTTTTCATACCCATGAGATTTAGTAAATTATAAAATTAAAAGAAAAATAACAAATGACTAACATTCGTTCTACATCCTTGCATTGTATCAGTACAGTATTCCATGAAGACAAAAACAAGAAATTAAAAGGTTAAAATGTTATTAATGTCCATTACAATTTAAATTTTAAGCTTTGTTCTTTGGCAGATATTATGTCTAACATATAAATTGATTATTTTACCAAGCTCTGGCATCCTAAAACCCATTGCCAATGATGCTTGGCTTCTTGGGAGACCGGCTGAATCAGCAAAGACATCTTCTGGTCCAGCAGGAGGCGGGGCCCGGCCAGCTTGCATATGGCAGGAATTACCGCCCCTTTTTCCCTCCTATCTGCCTAATATAATCCCTTCCACAAAGAGGATCCCCTACCTATTCTATTGGTTGCCTTTTTCATACCCTTTCCTATTTCTATTTCTTTCCAATTACAATTCATTCCTATTCTATTGCTTGCTTTTCTATCCTCTTTCCTATTTTTATTTCATTCCCACTCCAATTCCTTCATATTCTATTGCAAATCTTGATATTCTAACTACTAGCAACTATTATACATGTGATATTTGAGTGCTTTAGAGTTAGTTTTTGGATTGTCTCTAATTTCAGTTTGGTGCCTTTGAGGTGTTTCTCCCTTCTGGGGTTGTACACAAAGATGATGTTGACCTCATTTATTGACCTCATTTTGAGGTCGTTTCTCCTTTCCTTAGATCCTAGGATCTAGCTCTAAGTCTTCCTATCGACTATCTTAGAGGACTAGAGCTGGGACCCACCCCTTTTTAGAAATTTGAACCACTTTTTGTTTCCCTAGCGGTGTCTCGCCTGGGTGGTCTCAAACCATCATCTTTTGGTCGAGTGGTTAAGGACCAACATGTGGGAAATCAAAGAGAAGTTCCCAATAGGATCTCAAGCCCTAGGGAAACCCCTTTATGGCTTTATCAGCACACTCACACACACAAAATACACAAAATCCACTAAGTTGCACAAATTCGGACTAAAATTGAACTTAAACAGGGTGAAAAATGTGAACTTGTCCAGACGACCCTCGATGATGAAATGGACTGTGTCGGCACGTCCGGGACGTCAATTTTAACTAGAGAAGACACCCATATTGTCATAATTCCGCACACATGTAAATTGCACGCAAATCAATAAATTCATCAAAACAACCTCGGATGGCGAAAAGTACCGCACTGGCGCGATCGGAACGTCGAAATTACCTGAAAAATACATCTATTTACTAGGGTTCTATGCACAAATAATTTACGTGCAAATTGATATATTTAAATAATATAATATAATAAAATAAATAACAAAATAATTTAAAAATAACAAAATCCTTATTTTAAACCTATTTCACTAAACCACGCACGCAGTCTAGCCTTAATTCCTTCGGCCGAACCCCCTTTCCCCCTCTTTGGTCGTACATGAACCCTAGTCACCCGAGCAAAGCCCTAGTTCCAGTGGCTCGTCTCCATTTTCTTTTCTTTCCCAGTCGCGGCCCGAGTAGAGCTCTTCTCTCAGGCGTCTCTCTCTTCGTGAATCTTCTGGACCGAGCGCAAGCCCCATCGCTCGATTCCTCTTCTGCGTTAGCCGCTCGACCTAACGGCTCACCAATGGTGAGCTTCCCACGTTCCTCTGCCCTAGGCCGCATTTTCTCCTTCCTAAATGCATTTCTCTTCTCCCTTTACCTGATTCGACCACCTCTCCACTGGTAGGTGAAGGTGAGTTTTCTCCTATCTTTGCTATAAAAACCCCATCTTGGGGAGGTCTTTGGGGATGCCGAAAATTCAAAAGGAGAGTGGAGGAGCTGCTAAATTCTTAGCTTGCGTGAATTTCCTGTTCAGTTGCTCGGCACTATTCCTTGGCTGCGCATTCCTTCTGGACTGCTCGGTATTTTTGCTTGATTGGCTCGATATTCCCGTGTGATTACATATTTAGCTACCGAGGTATTACATTCATGTTGGTTTGCTCGTTTGCTTGTCCGACTGTGCTTGATTTGGTCTTAATGGTTCTCTTGACTAAAAAAAAGGAAGAGAAAATATATCATAAGATGCATGATTTATTATGTGATCAGGCAGTCTATTCCTTCAGAGGAATATTTCAGATTCGTGGGAGATAATATTTTATCTTTTAAAATTTCTAAAGTTATTCAACAATTTTTTTTACTTGAAATTGGAAACCCAGAAGTATCAAGAATCATCAAAGATGTTGAAAGATGTTGAAAACCTGCATTCATTTAGTGGAAGAAATGATCAAGGATTTTCTGAAATGCTTACTGAAATTTTAAAAGGCATCAAGAAGCATTCGTTTGTAGTTCATACACTCTCCATATAAAAAAAAAAAAAAAAAGATGTTTGAGGCTATTAAAAGTTTGAAACATCTTTGATATTTGAATCTTACTGCAAATCTCACTTGAATGTCAAGATCATTAAGCAGTTTTTATCATTTGCGGTTCATAATCTATAAAAATGTGGCTGGGGGGATTATGCTCTGATGATTTCTTGTCTGGCAATGTTAATCTTTCTAATCCGCGATGCTTGGTATTGCCCCCCGAATGTATTTTCTGATGTACCTCTTCACTTATCTTTTAATCTCTTGCTCCAGTCCACCCTTTTGAGCATGCTTTCTGGTTAATGTGGAGATGGATTTTGTTTAGATCATTTGTATCTATGCAGCATCATTCTTATGCATTTACATATTTAACACCTGAGCTGCAATTTTATATATATATGTCATGTTGCCTATACTTGAGAGGTCTATTCCACTTTGTTAAGTCAAAATAAGAGTACTTTAGATGCAAGCTAAAGACTTGGGTGGTGTCTGTGTGAGCATTAGCCATATAAATACAAAAAATCAAGTTGTATGCGTGTAAATTCTGGTGTTTTCCTTATAAAAAGCTCGAAAGTTTTGAATATTTGAGACTTTGGGTGTTTTATTTGTAAGAACCTGAAACTTTTGGGTGACATATTTGCAAAATTTGAAACATTTAAGTGGCGTATTTGCAAAATCTGAAACATTTAGGAGCTTTCCTTTGCTCTCTACTTGCTCCTTAGTTGAATAATTAAGGTCACATTCTAGTTTACATTTTGGCAAGCTTGGAAAGTTACAATGCTTCACTTTTACAAAAATCTGAAAGTTTATATGTTACATTTGCAAAGATTGAAAAGTTTTGGGTGCCTTGTTTTGAAAATCTGAAAGTTCTATGTATGTTATTTGCAAAATCTGAAAGTTATAGGTGTGTTATTTGCAAAAATCTGGAAGATATAGTTTTGTTACTTGCAAAAATCTGAAAGTTTCGATGCTTTACTTTTACAAATATCTGAAAGTTTCTATGTTCTATTTGAAAAGTTTGGTCTCTTAAATATGAATGTTGAGCATGCGTGGTATGGTAGTGGCCATTTTTTTTTACTTGTTTGTTTTTCCTTTCTTAAGTTATGGAAGAGACTGCCTATGAAATGGCCTATGAAATGCTACTTATGAAATGCTACTTGATATCCACTATTGTTGGCTTGGAATAGGTTTAGGAGCTTTTCTTTGCTCCTCATCTCGTTGATTTTTGGAAGAAATACAAGTTTTGTTTTTGGAGTTCGAAGGCCATTAAATTCCTATTTGTTTGTAATATTTGACATTGAAGCTTTACCTTTTTATACTTACAAGAAACAAATTCATTTCAATGGCTTCCTCCATTTGTTGTGCAATGAATTTTAGTGTTTGCCCTTCAATCATATTTCATATGAGTGCACTTGGGAAACTCAATCACGTCTTTTGTTGTTCGATATGGATAAGCTTTGGATACATATA